CCTATCCCTCCTCTCTTCTCCAGACCATCTCCGGTGACCTTCTCCCTTACCTCACCTCGCTCATCAACTCATCCTTGACCACTGGCTATGTCCCTTCCGTCTTCAAGAGAGCGAGAGTTGCACCCCTTCTCAAACAACCTACACTCGATCCCTCCGATGTCAACAACTACAGACCAGTATCCCTTCTTTCTTTTCTCTCCAAAACTCTTGAGCGTGCCGTCTTTAGCCAAGTCTCTTGCTATCTCTCTCAGAATGACCTTCTTGATCGAAACCAGTCAGGTTTCAAGACTGGTCATTCAACTGAGACTGCTCTTCTCTGTGTCACGGAGACTCTCCGCACTGCTAAAGCTAACTCTCTCTCCTCTGCTCTTGTCCTTCTAGACCTGTCTGCTGCCTTTGATACTGTGAACCATCAGATCCTCCTCTCCACCCTCTCCGAGTTGGGCATCTCCGGCGCGGCTCACTCTTGGATTGCGTCCTACCTGACTGGTCGCTCCTACCAAGTGGCGTGGCGAGAATCTGTCTCCGCACCATGTGCTCTCACCACTGGTGTCCCCCAGGGCTCAGTTCTAGGCCCTCTCCTATTCTTGCTATACACCAAGTCACTTGGCTCTGTTATATCCTCACATGGCCTCTCTTATCATTGCTACGCAGACGACACACAACTAATCTTCTCCTTTCCCCCTTCTGATAACCAGGTGGTGAATCACATCTCTGCATGTCTGGCAGACATATCAGTGTGGATGACGGATCACCACCTCAAGCTGAACCTCGGCAAGACGGAGCTGCTCTTCCTCCCGGGGAAGGACTGCCCGTTCCATGATCTCGCCATCACAGTTGACAACTCCGTTGTGTCCTCCTCCCAGAGTGCAAAGAGCCTTGGCGTGACCCTGGACAACAACCTGTCGTTCTCCGCTAACATCAAAGCGGTGACCCGATCCTGTAGGTTCATGCTCTACAACATTCGGAGAGTACGACCCTGCCTTACACAGGAAGCGGCACAGGTCCTAATCCAGGCACTTGTCATCTCCCGTCAGGATTACTGCAACTCGCTGTTGGCTGGGCTCCCTGCCTGTGTCATTAAACCCCTACAACTCATCCAGAATGCCGCAGCCCGTCTGGTGTTCAACCTTCCCAAGTTCTCTCACGTCACCCCGCTCCTCCGCACACTCCACTGGCTTCCAGTTGAAGCTCGCATCTGCTACAAGACCATGGTGCTTGCCTACGGAGCTGTGAGGGGAACGGCACCTCCGTACCTTCAGGCTCTCATCAGTCCCTACACCCAAACGAGGGCATTGCGTTCATCCACCTCTGGCCTGCTGGCCCCCCTACCTCTGCGGAAGCACAGTTCCCGCTCAGCCCAGTCAAAACTGTTCGCTGCTCTGGCACCCCAATGGTGGAACAAGCTCCCTCACGATGCCAGGACAGCGGAGTCACTCACCACCTTCCGGAGACACTTGAAACCCCACCTCTTTAAGGAATACCTGGGATAGGATAAAGTAATCCTTCTACCCCCCCTTAACCCACCCCACCCCAAAAAAAAAAAAAAAAACATATTGTAAAGTGGTTATCCCACTGGCTATAAAGTGAATGCACCAATTTGTAAGTCGCTCTGGATAAGAGCGTCTGCTAAATGACGTAAATGTAAAATGTAAATATCTTGTACTCACAAACTGAGTTTTGACATTTGTTTGCAGGATAAATACACATGTCCATTCATGTATTTATCTCCTATTTATTTATTTATATACTATACCGTGGGGAAAAAAAGTATTTAGTCAGCCACCAATTGTTCAAGTTCTCCCACTTAAAAAGATGAGAGAGGCCTGTCATTTTCATCATAGGTACACATCAACTATGACAGACAAAATGAGGGAAAAAAATCCTGAAAATCACATTGTAAGATTTTTTAATGAATTTATTTGCAAATTATGGTGGAAAATAAGTATTTGGTCAATAACAAAAGTTTCTCAATACTTTGTTATATACCCTTTGTTGGCAATGACACAGGTCAAACGTTTTCTGTAAGTCTTCACAAGGTTTTCACACACTGTTGCTGGTATTTTGGCCCATTCCTCCATGCAGATCTCCTCTAGAGCAGTGATGTTTTGGGGCTGTCGCTGGGCAACACGGACTTTCAACTCCCTCCAAAGATTTTCTATGGGGTTGAGATCTGGAGACTGGCTAGGCCACTCCAGGACCTTGAAATGCTTCTTACGAAGCCACTCCTTCGTTGCCCGGGCGGTGTGTTTGGGATCATTGTCATGCTGAAAGACCCAGCCACGTTTCATCTTCAATGCCCTTGCTGATGGAAGGAGGTTTTCACTCAAAATCTCACGATACATGGCCCCATTCATTCTTTCCTTTACACGGATCAGTCGTCCTGGTCCCTTTGCAGAAAAACAGCCCCAAATCATGATGTTTCCACCCCCATGTTTCACAGTAGGTATGGTGTTCTTTGGATGCAACTCAGGATTCTTTGTCCTCCAAACACGACTTGTTGAGTTTTTACCAAAAAGTTATATTTTGGTTTCATCTGACCATATGACATTCTCCCAATCCTCTTCTGGATCATCCAAATGCACTCTAGCAAACTTCAGATGGGCCTGGACATGTACTGGCTTAAGCAGGGGGACACGTCTGGCACTGCAGGATTTGAGTCCCTGGCGGCGCAGTGTGTTACTGATGGTAGGCTTTGTTACTTTGGTCCCAGCTCTCTGCAGGTCATTCACTAGGTCCCCCCGTGTGGTTCTGGGATTTTTGCTCACCGTTCTTGTGATCATTTTGACCACACGGGGTGAGATCTTGCATGGAGCCCCAGATCGAGGGAGATTATCAGTGGTCTTGTATGTCTTCCATTTCCTAATAATTGCTCCCACAGTTGATTTATTCAAACCAAGCTGCTTACCTATTGCAGATTCAGTCTTCCCAGCCTGGTGCAGGTCTACAATGTTGTTTCTGGTGTCCTTTGACAGCTCTTTGGTCTTGGCCATAGTGGAGTTTGGAGTGTGACTGTTTGAGGTTGTGGACAGGTGTCTTTTATACTGAAAACAAGTTCAAACAGGTGACATTTATTTTTGATTTACATGAATTCAACATGAAATCCCCCAAAAATTACCATCTCATTGGATTTAGGTTAAAAGTTGGGTGAAAAAAAGACTAAATTCCCTTATGTTGATGACTTTTTGCAAATGCAATCAATTTCCACGTTGATTCAACGTCATCACAGTTATTTATTTTGTGGAAATGATGTGGAAACAACATTGATTTAATCAGTTTTTGACCAGTGGGTAGCTAGCCTTATGCATCTGAGGCTAGGAGCCATTTATGTGTTAAAGGCCTATAGTTTGTGTTTTTTTGGGATGTCACTTCTTTCCACTGGGGGGAGGTCAGGTAATAGGTTTGGTTAGGTTTAAATTATAAATCAATCTTAATGTGACTTCGATTTAAGGCCAGGCAACACAGGCTGAAATGAAATTTTGGTAAAAACTCAACTCGTCGTGTTTGGAGGACAACGAATGCTGAGTTGCATCCAAAGAACACCATACCCACTGTGAAGCATGGGGGTGGAAACATCATGCTTTGGGGCTGTTTTTCTGCAAAGGGACCAGGACGACTGATCCGTGTAAAGGAAAGAATGAATGGTGCCATGTATCGTGAGATTTTGAGTGAAAACCTCCTTCCATCAGTAATAATAATAAATAATAATATGCCATTTAGCAGACGCTTTTATCCAAAGCGACTTACAGTCATGCGTGCATACATTTATTTATTTTTTTGTGTATGGGTGGTCCCGGGGATCGAACCCACTACCTTGGCGTTACAAGCGCCGTGCTCTACCAGTTGAGCTACAGAGGACCACAAGCAAGGGCATTGAAGATGAAAGGTGGCTGGGTCTTTCAGCATGACAATGATCCCAAACACACCGCCCGGGCAACGAAGGAGTGGCTTCGTAAGAAGCATTTCAAGGTCCTGGAGTGGCCTAGCCAGTCTCCAGATCTCAACCCCATAGAAAATCTTTGGAGGGAGTTGAAAGTCCGTGTTGCCCAGCGACAGCCCCAAAACATCACTGCTCTAGAGGAGATCTGCATGGAGGAATGGGCCAAAATACCAGCAACAATATGTGAAAACCTTGTGAAGACTTACAGAAACCTGTGTCATTGCCAACAATGGGTATATAACAAAGTATTGAGAAACTTTTGTTATTGACCAAATACTTATTTTCCACCATAATTTGCAAATAAATTCATTAAAAATCCTACAATGTGATTTTCAGGATTTTTTTCTCATTTTGTCTGTCATAGTTGACGTGTACCTATGATGAAAATTACAGGCCTCTCTCATCTTTTTAAGTGGGAGAACTTGCACAATTGGTGGCTGACTAAATACTTATTTTCCCCACTGTACATGAATCATTTTAAAGCTCACTACATGCCGCACTGTTCAAAGCTATGGCCAGCTCTGGTTGTTGTTGATCACGGGTATCTCTTGTCTATTGTGTAATAGCCTTGACTATGTTCGCCCCGTTGTCAGTTACAAAGAGTAGAATCTTCTCCTCTGGTATGTCCCATGCGTTCAATGTGCAGTCAATTACCTCTCCGGTGTGTGGATGCTAAATCCAATGAAGGTTGAGCAATGAATGCTCTGCCTTGTTATTTTTGTTTCAGTTTTTGTTTACTATAATAACCTTGAATCAATGGATAAATGTAAAGAATTTAAATGACCATTGAACAAACTCTGAGATCCTAGACTGTACCTTTAAGAATCATCTTACAATTATGGCAGTATCATTCATGTTTAATAATGACTCATAAGAGAAAACAAATAATGTGTACAACCGTTTTATTGACAATAAACAACAAAACCATTACTCAACATTTATGAACAACAACTAACTCAAACTTACAGTTTACAGCAACAAATAAACTTTACTAAATATTTGACTTTACCATAAAAAGTGTTCAGTTGGATGCTGACACTATGGAGTAGCATTTATGGTTTCAGTTTTTCTCGATTTCACAGATTATTTTGGAGCACACAGAGGGAAAGCTGTTTCCACAGTTTATATCGTTCCAGCGGTATTCATCTTAAAAGGAAACACAGAACAGAAATGACCTCTCAAATAATCTCAGATGTTCACACAACAATATAATAGTGTGTTTGCGGTGTGTGGTGTGTGTGTCAGTTTTATTCGTTAAATGTACTGTGAATAAAGTTTAATTTGATGAATGTATCAGTGAATGATAGTGAGCCTACTGTACCTCCCCAGTTCATCACCATACATGGCTCTCTGCCACCGCTATTATTGGGCTCTCCTTTCTTCCAGTTCTGGTAATCAAATTTGGAGCCGTCACTCCAAAACCATAGCCTGTCCTGTGGTGAAGAAGTGAGGTCTCAGTATCAAAGCAATCCCATATTACTATTATTATTATTATTATTATAGTATGCCAGTGGATACTAAAAAACCTAGATCTGACTTTACCAGTGACCCTTGAGATATTGATGAGTATACCAAGATACTACTGATTTGTGAGTATACTCCACCTGAACAGCATCAAATCCTCCAATCCAGGTAGTAGAGAAACCGCCAATCTTGCTCCCCACCACTTCCTGTAGAAATTGATATTCCGCAGAGCTGTGCACAGACGCCAGGTTTGCTCCAATGGACACACAGTGGTGCTACAGTGAGAGGTAGACAGGGGCAAATACATTTCATAATGTAAGTATTAGTCAGTAGTCCAGTCTGTGATTACTTATCTTCTGGACTCTCACAATCAAATATTGTCCATCGCAATTAATGCTCTTTTAAAAATGCTCTTAGAGATATTAGATTATCTCTGTCTTAACCAATGTCCTGTGGGTTCCAATATACAGTAGGCCTTAATTAATATAAATATATCAATAAATATTCCACGCTTAAAGAAAATTCCAATGAAACAATAACTTAAAGGGGAGGTTCAGTATTTTACATGACGCATGCAGAATAAGTGATTCTGGGTGCCACAGTGTCTGAATACCAAGGATTCCAGTATGTCAAGGGAGCTTACTGGTGGTTTATCTTAGAATGATTGATAGACATTATATACTGACTTGGGGTACAAGGTAATAACATCAAAGAAGGGAGTGCCCACTGATGGTTAACAGATGTTGTTGAAGAAACGTGTAACAAAAGGTATATAAACTGAGAGGTTTTCTTTGTTCAGTAGTTCGAATGGCAAGAGGCGAAGCACATGCCTTTTGTTAGATGAACCCAGTATCGAATATTAAATATTTGAATGAATTCTCCATCTAAGTGTTAAATATCTTCTTGCATCATGAATTACTTGATACCCTAGAAACTCATCATAACAGATTGACGTCTGAATGAACAGGATGCAGTTCACAGCCGAACTAACAGGTAAGCAGACTTTCATTTATTTGATTATGTCAAATTCTGCTTATCTGTGGTAAAGCTGAGCTGTAACAAACATTTAAAATTCAATATTTTTAAAGGGGACGATGACTGGTGTTGTGTAGAAGGGATGTAAGGAGGAATATCAAATTAGACAATTACATGGTGCTATGATTCGAAACAGGGTGTGTTAACATTAATGAGTACAAAGACAAAAGATAATACAGGAGTGGGTGTAGAACTTAGAGAGATGTGTTGTATCATCATTAAATAAGTCATGAAATACTATTATTATTATTATTATTATATTATTAAATACATTTTTGATGTGTAGTATCATCATGAAATAGAAAGATGTGTTGTATCATCATGAAATACAGTGGGGGAAAAAAGTATTATGTCAGCCACCAATTGTGCAAGTTCTCCCACTTAAAAAGATGAGAGAGGCCTGTAATTTTCATCATAGGTACACGTCAACTATGACAAACAAATTGAGGAAAAAAAATCCAGAAAATCACATTGTAGGATTTTTAATGAATTTATTTGCAAATTATGGAGGAAAATAAGTATTTGGTCACCTACAAACAAGCAAGATTTCTGGCTCTCACAGACCTGTAACTTCTTCTTTAAGAGGCTCCTCTGTCCTCCACTCGTTACCTGTATTAATGGCACCTGTTTGAACTTGTTATCAGTATAAAAGACACCTGTCCACAACCTCAAACAGTCACACTCCAAACTCCACTATGGCCAAGACCAAAGAGCTGTCAAAGGACACCAGAAACAAAATTGTAGACCTGCACCAGGCTGGGAAGACTGAATCTGCAATAGGTAAGCAGCTTGGTTTGAAGAAATCAACTGTGGGAGCAATTATTAGGAAATGGAAGAAATACAAGACCACTGATAATCTCCCTCGATCTGGGGCTCCACGCAAGATCTCACCCCGTGGGGTCAAAATGATCACAAGAACGGTGAGCAAAAATCCCAGAACCACACGGGGGGACCTAGTGAATGACCTGCAGAGAGCTGGGACCAAAGTAACAAAGCCTACCATCAGTAACACACTACGCCGCCAGGGACTCAAATCCTGCAGTGCCAGACGTGTCCCCCTGCTTAAGCCAGTACATGTCCAGGCCCGTCTGAAGTTTGCTAGAGTGCATTTGGATTATCCAGAAGAGGATTGGGAGAATGTCATATGGTCAGATGACACCAAAATATAACTTTTTGGTAAAAACTCAACTCGTCGTGTTTGGAGGACAAAGAATGCTGAGTTGCATCCAAAGAACACCATACCTACTGTGAAGCATGGGGGTGGAAACATCATGCTTTGGGGCTGTTTTTCTGCAAAGGGACCAGGACGACTGATCCGTGTAAAGGAAAGAATGAATGGGGCCATGTATCGTGAGATTTTGAGTGAAAACCTCCTTCTATCAGCAAGGGCATTGAAGATGAAACGTGGCTGGGTCTTTCAGCATGACAATGATCCCAAACACACCGCCCGGGCAACGAAGGAGTGGCTTCGTAAGAAGCATTTCAAGGTCCTGGAGTGGCCTAGCCAGTCTCCAGATCTCAACCCCATAGAAAATCTTTGGAGGGAGTTGAAAGTCCGTGTTGCCCAGCGACAGCCCAAAAACATCACTGCTCTAGAGGAGATCTGCTTGGAGGAATGGGCCAAAATACCAGCAACAGTGTGTGAAAACCTTGTGAAGACTTACAGAAAGCGTTTGACCTGTGTCATTGCCAACAAAGGGTATATAACAAAGTATTGAGAAACTTTCGTTATTGACCAAATACTTATTTTCCACCATAATTTGCAAATACATTCATTAAAAATCCTACAATGTGATTTTCTGGATTTTTCTTCCTCATTTTGTCTGTCATAGTTGACGTGTACCTATGATGAAAATTACAGGCCTCTCTCATCTTTTTAAGTGGGAGAACTTGCACTATTTTGATGTGTAGTATCATCATGAAATAGAGAGGTGTGTTGTATCATCATGAAATAATTCATGAAATAACTATTTGGATGTGTAGTATCATAATGAAATAGAGAGATGTGTTGTATCATCATGAAATAAGTCATGAAATAGCTATTTTGAGAGGGTCCTGGTTCAAGCCCAGGTAGGGACGGAAGCAAAACTTTTACATAGATGCTATTGACCTAGATCACTGGGTGAATTGATAACATTATAGGAAAGAGATTGTTTTACCAACACATCGTATAGGATAACATAGTAATTAAAGTTGCATCACTGTGAATATATGTTTTGTTTGTTTTGACTATAACTTAAAAATAATTTGTCATATGCTAAAGTACCGTTAGATGGAAAGTCAGCGATAGAGAATAATAGATATTGTTGAGGGTTTTCTGTGTTAGAAGGATAAGTAGGTTAATTAGGAGATGATAAATGTTGAATTGGATTGTTTGAATAGACTGGTATTAAAATAATTATTTGTAGTAAGGTCAATTAAAATATGTTATTAGGTAGTAGTGGTTTGTGGATAAAGATATAAAGGACGCAGAGGGTAATGAGGAGCACATGTCTAGATAGTTGAATATAGACCATTCTGTGACAATTTTTAATTATTATTATTACATTATATAGTTTGCGTAACACCAGTGATGTATGCAAATAGTTAATGAATTCTAAAACGATAATTTGTTTTCTTTACGTGGACCAGTGGAGTGCAGGTAGTTTTTACTATTAGGCTGATGGAGTAGTAAAAATGTTTTGTAGGTTCTGGACTTATTAAACAATAGGTTTATATTTTAGTACATCAATACAACAGGTTGCGATGATTACATTACCGGAAAGGGGTTATAGGTTTATATTAGAAGGTGTAGTGAACTTAATGAAACGTGGTATTATCTGATGTGTTTTGAGTGGGAGTTTTTTATCCAGGATTGATGGAAGTCCCCTACAGTATATGTTAAGGGAAAGATATCACGGCTTACTTACGCAGAGTAATTGATTATATTGGCAAATTAATTAAATATGACATTTAGAGGGGTGACAGGAACAATATCAGGGGAAACAGATATTTCCTATGTTGTTGATCAAGTAACGATACTAGGATAATTTGATATGGGATCAAAAGGAGCAGATTTTGGGGTTGAATAATCATTGTGAGAATTACAGAGGATGAAGTCTGAAGGGTAATCAATTACAAATACTCATTGTAAACTCAGAGAAAATTGAGTGGTTTTCATCTTTTGAGAGATTTTATGTAATCTTCGACTGGAGTAGTTATGAGAGATTAAAACAAACGACTATTGATGTGAGGTAGGACGGTGTATATATGAATCATGTTTGTGTGTAATTACTATTTTTGGATTGCTGATTATAACTGAATGTTAACGAAATGTATACTTTCTCTTCCAGAAGAAAGGGGATTTCCTTATCTCCCATTGGAATGTTTCCCAAGTCTGTAGGCTAGGGGGAGAATTTAGTAAAATTCTGCAGTTTTATACTTAGGTTGTAAAAAGGAGCTACCAAATTACATAAGGCCTGGCTATTTTTATTTGTTGTTTTCCAATAGGGCTTTTCAAATAACCACACACAACCCACCTAGTATGATGTTTATACAGTGCCTTGCAAAAGTATTCATCCCCCTTGGTGTTTTTCCTATTTTTTTGCATTACAACCTGTAATTTAAATTGATTTTTATTCGGATTTCATGTAATGGACATACACAAAATAGTCCAAATTGGTGAAGTGAAATGAAAAATATAACTTGTTTCAAAAAATTCAAAAAACTAAATAACGAAAAGTGGTGCGTGCATATGTATTCACCCCCTTTGCTATGAAGCCCCTAAATAAGATATGGTGCAACCAATTACATTCAGAATTCACATAATGAGTTAAATAAAGTCCACCTGTGTGCAATCTAAGTGTCACATGATCTCAGTACATATACACCTGTTCTGAAAGGCCCCAGAGTCTGCAACACCACTAAGCAAGGGGCACCACCAAGCAAGCGGCACCATGAAGACCAAGGAGCTCTCCAAACAGGTCAGGGACAAAGTTTTGGAGAAGTACAGATCAGGGTTGGGTTATAAAAGAATATCCGAAACTTTGAACATCCCACGGAGCACCATTAAATCCATTGTAAAAAATTGAAAGAATATGGCACCACAACAAACCTGCCAAGAGAGGGCCACCCACCAAAACTCATGGACCAGGCAAGGACGGCATTAATCAGAGAGGCAACAAAAATACCAAAGATAACACTGAAGGAGCTGCAAAGCTCCACAGCGGAGATTGGAGTATCTGTCCATTGGACCCCTTTA